AATAATAATAATTATGTTTCTAAATAATCAGGAATTCATATTAACTACTTTAAATTAAAAAAAGAAACGTTTAAACCTCATTCAGTGATTCAGAGTTGAGGTGGTCTGCCTTGAAGAAGGAAAGTCCCTGTCTGCTTTTCCATGTCTAGTAACAACATTTCAACATTTGATCAGAAAATACAGCTTAATATTTTATTAAGTCCTATATTCTGAAATGTGTTCTTTTACGAGCTCAGTCTCATGATGAATACGTACCTGTGGGAAGACGCAAAATACGTAGCGCCATGTACGTTTCGTGACATATTTGGTGTGAAATGTCCACTGAGTGGCGCTAAAAGAGTGTCCCGTTTTTTTCCCCAGTGTTCATTTCTGTTGGAAACTGCAGTGATATGAACTTATTGGTACGTATTTCGTGTCTTGCAAAAAAGTTCCCACAGGTATGTTTTCGTCATGAGATCGGGTTGTCTTTTACTGTATGAACTCAGCATTTACTTTGAACCTATTCAACATTAACATCAATTTAATCAACTGGTCTCCACATCAAAATCCTCTTCAGTTGAACCGAACAATATCAAACATCCAAGGGAAATATTCCCAACCAATGAATATTCATATTACATGATGCAAAATGCAAAAATATGTGACCAATTAATGAAGTTTAGGTGATGAATCTGACTTATGTAGTCACACGATATGTACGCCACTGCTTATGAAGGGGCTCCAGGTTTTAAGACTTCCCTTTCATACTCGTGATTCATAATCATGCCAGACACGCAGAAGACCTTGAGCTTCAAAGAACTCTCCCTCAAAAGGTCAATCAGACCTTTTTGGGAGAGGAACATTCTGAAATTTTTTTCAAGAAAGTCCACACATGCTCTCCGACAGTTTGAGGGAAGTGATTAAAGAAAAAGGAACTACAAATAAAACATAATAAAACATCATACGAGGCAAATGCGCACACTGAACACATAAGTCTTTTGAGCGACACAATTGAAATCTGAAAGGCTTTCTTAGTTTACCACATTAAAAGACACATTTCAACCTTACAGTATCTAGCCTTCTACCAATGCAGACAAAGAAGAAATGTAGCTGAAATACTGTGACCGGCCCATTATCTTATTGTGTACTCATGCACCAAATCACATGATGGGGACGACACTTGACCAGGAAGAACCGCATTAAAATGCGTCTGAGTCTTGTGACTAATGCCAGAAATTCCCACATTGTCTAAATTCACACAAACACACACACACACACACACACACACGCATACAGTGCATTCCAAAATGCAGACACAGACAAATGGTGGTACTCCTTGTTGATTTTAGGTGATTGACAAACCATGACAAACTTTTAAATGGTGACTGTACACTGAATATATACATTACTTTCACATTGCTAAAATTTTTTGATTTTAAATAAATGTTGTTCATTTGAACTTTATATTAGTCAAAGAATCCTGAAAAAAATTATCACCATTTTCACAAAAAATTAGGCAGCACAACTGTTTTCAACATTGATTCAAAGAGACTTGTAATAATAGAAGAAAAAAAACTGGATCATCCAAGGAACACTATCTATGCAGAATACTATCATTAAGACATAAAAAAGAGGTTGAATGACTCTTACACCATACCATGCACTAAAAACAAAATCAGACCGGCACCCAAACATAAAATACCTTTAAATGCACCAAAAAACAAGGTACTGCAATTCTGCTACTATACTTTAGATAAGAACTGATTCTATGTCCACATTAATGGGAAAATGATTAAAGACAGATCAAATAATTCAGAAAATCTGTTTCTTCACCATTTAAGAATGTTTTTCATTATTGCACAATATTATTATAATTACACTAAACCTTTAACCAACTGACCAGTTGAACTGTATTTTCTATGTACAACAATCACTTTTGTGCTTTGTTCTGTCTTTAGATAGGATTAAGATCAGGGTTAGGAATGATCTCGCAGAACAAGTCCTACTTTCTTGAGAGTATAGGTTATATGCCTCCAAATGTGGTCCAGTCAGACACAGGGCATTAGTTGCACCAACAACGTAACTCAATGAACAGTACATATTATTAGGAACTTATTAGTGACATCTAGGCTTATGCAGAACAAGTATCAAGCAGCATGTCACTGTCTTGCCTGTATATGTGCAAAGAACTCACTTTTGATCGATGATACCTGCATTGATGAATGCTGATGTTGCGGAGAAGATAAAAAAGCTAGATGACTCATGTGCTTCCAAGATCACACATCCAGTTTCCCAAAAGCAAAAACAAGCTCATCAAAGGAACAACAACAACAACAACAACAGGATATTAAGCATGAAATCCTGTACAACCACTGATTTATTAACCGAAATATTAAACAGCCTTGATTAATCTCATTCTTCTTTAAAGGTGCACTCAGTACATTTTTGTTCATGTTTATCTGGCTCTTGTTTGTTCGTATAGTACCAGTGATTTGGAACTTTATACGGACGACTTTTGGTGTGAATGCATGAAGTCTGTTTACTAATGGCTGCTACTTGAAAAGTGTCTGTTTTTCTGAATCTCATACACTTCCATATAACAGACATTCTTTAATCCAACTTCAGTGTTTTTTTCACGTTGTTGGTAGTTTGTGTTTTATGCAGCTATGACCGCTACCATGTACTGTGACTAGAAAGGTATGGCTGTTTGCAGGACACCAGTACATACATGGTACATCTATAATGGTTGTGTTATTTTTAATTGTTATTATTAATAATAGCAACTGTATAAATTGCATGGTTGATCATGTGAAGGCACCTATGATGGGATGACCCACTCTATGTAAAATAAACCTGCTTTAATATATATATATATATATACATATACATACACACACACACACACATCTGGAGTCTTCACATCATCATGTTTCTCAAAAGTGATGTTGATTTCTGAATATGTCACTCTAATCATTCCTGCATGAATTATTCTTTACTTCTCAGCTCTTTCATGATCAAAAACAATCTTAATGCATCCATAACACAATCAATACATCCAGCAAGTTTTAGTTGCCACCACGACCAGTTGGATTTTAATTTCTCTCTAGAACTCAGATCAAGAAAACAAATAATTAAACTGAGTTGACATTATTACAAGAATTTTTTTTGCGTCAGTGATATGGGGAGCTCATTTTGCAATATGTATTTAGTAAACTGTCAACTGAAGTCAAAACAAACCACCCACTACGCAATCAAATTATTGGTGGTCATCTAAGAGCTAATGTTAGCCGGGTAGCTTTCCCAAAACCGTAGAATTACGGCCCCTGAGTAGGTCTTGCCCAGTCATAAACTGTGAATTTAAGTGCATTTCGCTTCATTATCTATCATCTGTAAGCAAGCGTGTTACGTGCCTGGTGTACTGGACTGACATTCCGTCCCTTGGATTTGTTGAACTAGCTCATGCTAACCGCAAGCACTCACCGCGATTACGTTAACAAACGTCGTTTTCCCCGAATACTGCAGCCCGACGAGGGTTAACTCCATTTCTTCCTTCCAGAAGAGAGACTTAAGCCAGTCCAGGAGGCGGTTAATGAGTGCCAACATTTTGATGCTTGATTAAACAGGTCTGTGTTGGTTCTGGTTGTTTGCAATGTTTTTCACCACTAGAATCGTAATGTAGTGTTTGAGAGGAACTGGCCGCTGTCATATGACTGAAACGTTTGCGAACTCAGTGTGTGTTCAGATGCGTTAAACCTGCACCATTCTTGCGCAGTACCGTCATTTAAGCTTATGTTCAAAATTAAAATTAAATTCAAATAAAAAATGGAATTAAATTAAAATTAAAAGAATAAATTAGAAATATGTTTAATTGTTTATGTTAACTAATATAGTTAATTAATGTTAATAAAATTATTGTAAGTGTTATTAGTTTTTATTAACTGTTTATTTTGATGCCCCAGTCCCAGTTTGTTTTTCCCATTATACAAGTTATGTAGAACCTAAAATATATTTAGCATGTGTAACGGTACAATAAACAATAATAAAATGATGACCATAATACAATTTAATAATTGCAAATAAGATGTACACAAAATTGCTGAAACACTTGTTTTCACAA